CGGGAGCGGTAGACAATGCCGTGAAGCGGCTGAGAGCCTGCCATTAATTTACTGCACAAAGAGCAAAAAAACTATTGTTGAAAATTCGATGGTGATTTTTCACTTGCCGTGTGTTCGGGCTTTATTTGGCAAATAAGTGAGGAGTTGAACCATTCGCTTGCCTACGGTACAGTCTGGCGGTTGGCTGTGTTGTGGTAAGATAAACGCCTTAAAAAGGCAAATAGAGAGCAAGCCGCATTTGTGACCTTTAGGCCGCTCCACAATGTGATATGTCACCGTGAGATTCTGCCAATAACTCAACCCGGGGTGTAATTAGCGGAGAAATTTAATCATAATAATGAAAAACAAGGGTTAATAATGAAAAGACGCCGGAGCCAACGCGCGCCCCGCAAATCGCGGGTGCACTTTGTTCACACTCACTGCTACTCCCTGACATGTGTCTGTCACATGATGCAGTAATTGCGGCATGCATTACCCACAGTGGCACAAAGACATATTCATGCGTTATTAAACACGAGGCCATGCAAGGAGAATCCTTACATTCAAGAGGCTGGTGGAAGGAAGGAAGGAGGGGGGGTTGGGCGAGAGGGAGTAGATGGAAGGGGGTAGAAGGCGTGGGGGTAGAATAATAAAGGAGAGCGTGGGTAAAAGAGTAGCAGGGAGAGAGAGAGTGGCGAAGGCAAGGTAGGCCAAGTCACATTGCTCGAGTTTATAGCCTCACAGAGACGTGCGATTAAAGCATTTGTGACATACACATACGCGTACACTGCAAACGCACACGGTTGTGAGTCAACATATTTATGCATGAGGTTAGTTCACAAGTTACTTCACACATACGTTGGAGAAAAGATATCATTAGTAACACTTCCCCCCCCCCCCTCTTGTTTTGACTGGCATAATAATGTAAAACTTCATCTGGGTTTTGTGTCAATGCTGAACTTGTTGGTCAGAGGTCGACGCCGTCTATCATCAACTTGGGGGTTCAATTCATAAGGGTACTTGCGTTGTGGCAACGCAGTGGTGATTGACTGCTGATTGAGGCCATTGTGAATGGCTGCGCCGTGATCGTGTAGCATTGCCATCGTGGTCTAAGGGCCCTCAAAGGGTACGGCGCACCACCCAACGTTTGTTTGAGTACATTGATAATAATAATAATCCTTAGTCTAACTTGACAATGAAGGAAACTATCGCAAAATGTAACTATGCACGTGCGTGTTTTATTTTTGTTCCACGTTCTCGCATCTACGTGTAGAGTTTAGTTTGTTTCTGAACGCCACCAATCCTGCCCTCCTCCTCAGCGTAACCACGCGCTGGTTGCTTCTCACTTAATTTCCTCCTTTACCTGCACGGCGCTCTGAGTTCCATTGTTTAAGGGCGCCTTGTCCATTCTCATCACGATTTTTATTGAATACCGTTACGTAAAAAAATATTATCTAACTCGTCGTCTGCACGTATATATTTACCCCGACGAATATTTGTTTTTATTGCATAGGTGTTTACAGAAGTGAGCATAAGCATAGGGCACATATGATTGCATTTTTTCGACGAGTAATTTTCACAATTTATATTGGTGCTAAAAATACTGACGTGCAAAGGGCTGCACCTTGCCAATTGTTGTACAGTTTCTTAAACAGGCTACTCTTTGATCACTAATGTGAATTAGCAAACATTTTAGGGTAATTACAAGTTTTCATTCTCGCTAACAGTCCTGAGTCAGTGGTTCAAAACTCCACATTCCTATGGAAGTGATCTATACGGCATACGCTATACTGTCAAATTGGCGTGGCTCTCCGCTCGAAAAAAGTGCGAGCGGGAGATCATGTCTATCGGGGTCGCTAAGCCAGTGGTGGAAATCGCACAATGCTCTGTGCAAACCAGCCACGGCATGGGAAAACTTTTGCTGACAAAATGGTACCAATGATAGACCCTGGAGGGTGTGGAGTCAGGATGGTAATATGCAACCTTAAGAAATATATAATGCATTTATCCTGGTCCTGTCAAATATTATTAACTCCTTTTAACGGTATCATTGCAAAAATGCTCAAATAATTCGATACATCAAAAGCTATTGAGAATATATTCTCGGTGTACACCGAGTGTAGAGTTACAATTAAAATAAAGAGCCACATTATAACTTAATTTCCATACCATCAAATATATCAGCTACTCGACTAATATTTATTATAAAAAATTACAATGAATGTTACGTTCAATCCGCCTGTTTTCGTAATAATGCAATGAATCACTTACTGCTGACACTTGTATAAAATGTTAAATCTCCAATTAAATATTCTTAAATGTTCTACTCATGCAATTTATGGTCTGTTCGTCATCCTAAAAGAGTTGGAAAACGCTTCCCACCAACACTTTGCGCTAACGAAATGGTAATATTTTGATTCACTCTGATGGTTCCTCATAAGGTCAGTATTAAATTAATGAGGTGTAAAATGTTAGTTGCATATTTAATTATTCGGTAATATTTTTTATAGCTGTTCACAAGGAAAAAAAAATGAAATGTGAAATGTTTCACTATTCTTAACCCATTTCACTCTGGTTTAATTAAGTCCTCGAACAGAGTTGGGGATTTCTGCGAATGTTGCTCTGTGCTCGATCCGTTTCATATTTCACTCCGGGTCAGGCAGCCAACAACCGCTTGCTTTTGTGAATGATGCATCTCATTTTCATAACATCTCACTTATTTAAACAAATTATTCAACGTTTCAATTCCAAAAAATGGTACAGCCTCCATTTCATTCAAGTTTACAAGAAGACACCAAACACACGCAACCCATATAAGATATCACAAGCCTTAGCCTTGTGTCCCTCAAAGGTTTATTTTGTACATATGCAAGAGAGCACTGGAACCAGCAACAGTTCACTCTGTGCCTCTGCTAAATAGGCCTTCAGAGTTGGTCTGGGCCAATTTAAGTGTGAAAATTTTGTATCGGTTTCATATACGACCTGTTGACAAGGGGTTGAGGCCTCACATTACAATATAAGACAACTTGTGTGTGTGTGTGTGTGTCCTTGTCATTCCATGTAGAAGCAAAATAATTCAAACTCAGAATCTCAGCTATCGCTGGTGCATTGCTTTCAATAGTTTCTAGCATCCAACTTCTTGAGATAAATGCTCTTATGATAGAAAAAAAAAACAAAAGCAGGCACTCTCGGTGACCAAATTGGAACCATAATCTCTCCGGGGTTGATAAAAAATGAGAAACCAATTTTGTGGGATTGTCACATTGGCTCAAACTGCACACAGTGATGCTGAGTACTGCCTCAGGCACGGTGGAGAAGCAACTCACTTGAACTCGTTTCTGACTTTGGCCTTCTGTTAAGTCGTTTTAAATCTGAGAATTGATTGTTTCAGAGGTGAGCTTATTCCATCATTTTTAATTGTGTCATCCGAGTGACGTTGCACCGTTGACTGTCAAATGGAGCTTACAAATAGAGAAAGTGTGAATGACGTTACACAATGTGAATCGTGGAATGCTTCTTTGAGCCAGCGCATGGACATGAATGTGATGTATTTTATTCGGTCTTGGTAGAGGGCTCTGCTCATGAGAATCTTTACTTCGAATCAGGTCAGCAATGTTGTCCGATGGATGTTGTCGATGTTGTGCTTTGGAAACACCCCAAACTTAGAAACGTACAACCTTAACAAAGGGATCAGGGCCACCAAGAGAGTCGAGCAATACCCCACACTCATTTGAGAAAACAGACACTTTCATATTCATGGTTCTTTCGGTAAAGTCACGTAGAAGGGAAACAATAAAATAATAAAAATAATATATATTTTTTTATATATAAAAAAAATATATTTTATTGTTTCCCTTCTACGTGACTTTACCGAATGAACCAAGAATATGAATCCCTGCAGTCACGAAAGCTTTAAATCAAAATTTAGACACTTTCATGTTTGTCTTTTATTATAATTATTTTAGAATATACAATATAAAACTTTTTTTTTTTTACCCGTGGCACATCACGGGAAGGAGAACACCGTCAAGGATATGGCGTATATGTCAGGGATGAGAGTGCGATAAGAGTGGAGGGCAGAGAGTGAAGGAAGGAGGGAGCAGCAGTGAGCTACACGGAGGAGCGGCGTCTGTTTTCACAGGGGGCAGGGTTGAGGGGAGGGGTTCAAAGTGAGGATGACCACACACAAGCCACGCGGTCTACGGGAGACCTTGTGGTGACTTAAATGGATTGACGTTTGAGAGAGCATTGTACTTTATCATTAGATTCAAGGCCGAAACAGGAGGATTTCTCCATAACTCTGGCTGATGAAGCTGATAGTTATTACTGGCGAAACGCCATACTCGCACTGTAAATGCTGTGGGTTTATTCTCCAACACACCGGTGTGCTGGACTAGTAACAAATTGGCATGTTCTGTTTACGTGACGAAACTTACTAATTGGCTGTGTCGGGTGATGGTGGGTTTAAAGACGCATTTATATTTAAGCGATCTAACCCAAATCCTCTGTTGTGGAGAATATTGGTCGCGAAAGTCTACGTTTTAAGCATTGTACTTGTTATTAAGGTTAAGATGTAGGCCTGAAATTAATTGCAGGGTGGAAAGGCCTCGACTCGACAGATACCTTGAGAGCATATTTGGCCTACTCTTCCAAGCTGTCTCGACCTCTCGGAAGAGGTGGGAGTGTCCACACGTTACCCCAACAAGCGACCTGCCGACCAACTAACTTCGGTGTTACCCGTTTATACTTCTGGGTGGGCAGATGCTGAGGGGGATTTCAAGAAATGTGTCAAATGTTTCGACTGTCACTCCTAGAGATGATACTGGTGACCTCCGGATTGAAGGGCCAGTGTGCTCACCCTTACACTACGGCATGATCAGGATGATGATGATACAGTGTTTTGAAGCCAGCATTGTGCCCGTCAACGTTGGGCCACATTGACGCGGGGCAAACGTGGCGTTCTGAATCCCCTGAGGTTTCTTCTCACTTCCGGCTCTTTCGCGGTGCCCTCTCCCGTCCAGGTGTGCGGCTGGACAGGGTGCGTGGCGGGCGGCAGAAGTACAAGAGGAGAATCGACGCTGAGAACAGCCCTTACCTCAACCCCCAGCTCACGCAGCCCATCAAGAAGCCCTGCAACGGCACTCTGGGTACGTACGTACGTGCCCGTATGCAGGGGAGTGGTGGCATAGCGGTTAGCGCGCTGCACTACGAACCCGGCGACCCGAGTTCGATTCCCACTCATGGTCATCAACGCCAGTGACGATTATAATCTGAACCGGTCCTGGGCCTCCCCTAGGTCGACTCAGCCTTGAATGAGTAACTGGTAGGGTGTGTAAACATCGCCACTGGGGAGACAAAGGCAGCCGGGCGAGGTGCTGGCCGAAACACCTCCTCATGTGCCGTGCCGGCCTTCATAGGTGCTCGCTATCAGCACTTGCCCCAACAGTCTGTCAAAGCTATGCGAGGGATCTTTGTTTTTGTATGTATGTAGAACTTCCTTCATACCGTACATAGCCAATCATGCTAATCGGAGGTGCGGATAAAGGACAACAAACAGGAAATTCCAAGTATACGCCCCTATATTTGGAGTTTGTATGTTCTCCCTGTGGTCGTGTGGATTTTTCACCTGGTCCTCCGGTTTCTCCCTCCACATTTAGAATCAACATGAATTTGGAGTAATTTGACTGTTATTAAAAACAAAAAAAACGACCAACATGATAAGCCACTTCGTTGATCTATCCTTGGCAGCCAGGTCGCTTCTGAGAAAAGAGCTGTATAGCTCTGTGGGCCTTACCTGGTAAAATAATTTAAAAAAGTCGTTTCAGTACTTTTAACGATTCCATCACCCGCATCGTTGCGTGAAGCGGGCCTTCTCTACGAGCTGCCGTGTGGTCCCTTGCCACGGCAGTCATTGGCAGGATTTGTGCCGTCTGGACAGTTGTGAGGGAGACCAGGTTACTCGCTGCATCTCATCCATCATTGTGAGCGTCCTTGCTGCAAGCACCACTTACGATGGGCCCCCGAAGCCAAGTGCAGGAGAACGCTGCGACTCGGAGACGTTTCCGTTGCCGCGCTAATAAACCTTTCGGTGCTTAAACTTTTGGAACGTTCACATGCACGACGGAGTCGATATGCCTCCCTTCTCGTACTTTATAATTTTCCACGTATAAACCGCGGGTCTTAATGCGTACGCAGTCAGCGCTGGCGCGATCGGTTATAGCACTCTGGGCCAACCAGCCTGGCGAGCCGAGGTCATTTCCTAGCCTCGGCCGACGTCAATGATAAGTTACATCCGATCCAGTTCTGGTCCTCCGCTTGGTCAACTCACCGTGCAAACATCAGCCATTCGGGAGACAAATGTGGCCATACGTAGTTGCTGGCCACGCCAACCCCTCGTGTACCGATTCAACCTTGGGTGTTTACAGCACCTGCATCAAACTATCGCCATTGTTACGAAAGAACAACGTTTGTAATCTTGATTTGAAGTTTGTGTCCGTATATAAGTTGAGGGGCTACAGCAACAAGCACTCCAATCTCCCTGATTTGGCCGACATTACTCGTAACATACTCTTTGGTTCTATTCGGTAAAGTCACGTGGGTAAAAAATAGAACAACAAAAATCATGACGTTTCGGTCACAACACAAGTGGCCTTCATCAGGTGAAGGGACCAGACTGTCTCGAGGACAGCGCTGGAGTGAACACAGCCAAGCTCAGACGGCGACCTTTAAGCTTGTGTGAGAGGAATTAAGGTGCCTTGACAAAGGAATTACTCGTAACAATTAGGGCAGATTCTGAATCTGGTCTGAGCTTCACCTAGGTCATCTCATCCTAAAGTGTTTACTTGGTACAGTCTGTCATCACCAGCACTGGGTAGACGAGGACTTAATTGCACTAACTCTAGTATCGTGCCTGGACTAATGGGTGCTTGCCCACTGCAAATGTATAGACAGATTATAACCATGACGTGTATATTGTTGTGAATACTATTGAGCAGATGAGTTGCGGATTAATAGTTGTTTAGAGTTAGTACAGTCGTATACATTGCATGGGGTTAACTTTATTCGCCCAGTCTGTCCGTGGGACAAACACTGTTCAGTCCTGTAGGATGGTATGCAATTTCCAATATGTTGAACTTCTTTCGCACCGTGCACAGCCAATCAGTGCTAATCGGAGGTGCGGGGAAAGTCAACAAACTAAATGCAAAAAGCAGTTCTTAAGAAAAAAAAACTATTTCAATTTAAAAGCTCCAGTGGCTTCCTAATAATGTCGTGTGTAAGCGTACTATTTAATGCATATATACACACACACACAAAGCGATTGCATGCATGTAATACATCACACAGCTTTGCACGTGAGATGACTAATATCTCTCCCAGTGCTAACATTGGTAATTTGGACAATTTAGAAGTAGAAGTAGACAAAATAAAACATGTCAACGCGCTCGTCAACAACATTGCCTCATCAAACGAAAGAAACAATATATAAATATATCAATATATATAATCGGTGACGTTTCAGGGCAGCAGCTCTTCTTCCACATTACATCGCGTCACAGTGTTTACACTGCCGAGTATACGGGTCGACAGATTTGGCCGTTGGAAGAGGCCGCCAAATTATCTCATCCAGTTTGGGAAGGGGCCGCCAAATTGTCCCATCCAGTCTGGGAAGGGGCCGCCAAATTGTCCCATCCAGTTTGGGAAGGGGCCGCCAAATTGTCCCATCCAGTCTGGGAAGGGGCCGCCAAATTGTCCCATCTAGTTTGGGAAGGGGCCGCCAAATTGTCCCATCCAGTCTGGGAAGGGCCACCAATTTGTCCCATCCAGTTTGGGAAGGGGCCGCCAAATTGTCCCGTCCAGTCTGGGAAGGGGCCACCAAATTGTCCCATCCAGTCTGGGAAGGGCCACCAATTTGTCCCGTCCGCTTTATTGTACCCATCGCCCAGTGCTTGGGCACCATCTATTAGTAGAGGGGCCCGGCGAGTTGAGAGAGATGGGGGGGGGGAGGGAGCGGTCAACAGCGTGCCGTGAGTAACATTTTCCCTAACGCGCGTGTAATTCTGATGGCTCATGAATTTCGTCTGTTAGCGCGGTGAAGACTTCAATGAGGCGGATCGGTAAAGACACGGCGTGCCTGCAGGTCTGCATAAATTACCTTGACGGATGGGGCTGGGGCTGAAGGAGAGAAATGGAAGCTTTAAATGTCATAAGGATGGTTAAAATGCCACCGAGGGATGGGACGAGGGGGGGCTGGGCTTAAGGGCCTGGGCCACTGGGCGAGTGTTAACGCTTGAAAGATGCATTCGGCAATAAACCACTTCTCCCCGCCCCCCCCGCCCCCCCCGTGCCACTTTAACACGTGCCTTTCTGGTGTGAGCCCTCAGCTGTCTAGGTGCTAAAGGCTAATGCGCTGGGCACGCGATCCAAAAACGGGCGCGGCGTTCGATTCCCGGTCAAGGCGCGACTCTCGGCAAGTGGCGGTGGCCAACTTGCGCACGTTGGTGAAAGTCGTTTGGGAGTCACTTGTGGCTTGGCTGTCCGACACACAACCGGTGTGCTGTGCGAGCAACGAATTGTGCACGTTCTGTTTACGTGACAAACCTTACTAATTGGCTGTGTCGGATGGTGGTGGGTTTAACGACACATTTATGTATTTGCACCGATCTAAACCCAAAAAAAATCTGTATTATGGAGTCATTTGGGAGTTTGTTTGTGCTATGACTCCCCCCCCCCCCGCCACTCTCCCAAACATCTTTCAGTCCCTCTGTCTACCCAGCGGGTGATTAAAAAAGGAAAGTGAAGATGCCAGCCGTCGAACCTTGAGGAAACTACCGAACATCATTGCCTTTGTGATTTGCTCCGTTCAAGGCATTGGAGATGTCGGCACGCTTTTGCCGGGCAATCGGACGCTAAAAAAAGAAACATTCTCTATCACGCTACAAAATTCGGCACAAATGCCCCTTTTGTTTTGCACTCTGTACAACCGACCCGTGCCGGGGCCGTGCCGAACCTGCCCGATGCAGATCAGGCAGGCGCCAGGTTGTTCTTTCTGTTTCTGAAGCCGAGGCGTGCTGCCAATGCCGCGGTTTTGGCAGTTTGGCAATTTCACAAGCGGGAGTGAATGACATCGCGCGATGAACACGTCATCCGTCACACTCCTGGCGATGCTTGATCCCGAAATAGATGTGAGGCGCGCGTATCGCAGCCGGTTTGACACGAAAAATAACCAGCGAAATAACGACCCGTAAACATGACCCCCTCCCCCGCCCCCACCGGCACTTGCTTGGCTGTGCCAGTGGATAAAGTGGTAACCTTGCGATGACCCCTTGCTCCAACGAGCAGCGAAGTGGCCCATCGTAAGCGGTGCTCGCAGCAAGGACGTTCACAATGATGGAGGTGCAGCGAGTAACCGGGTCTCTCTCACAACTATCCAGACGACACCAAGCCCAATGACTGGCACGGCCAGGGCCCACCGGATGGCTCGTAGAGAAGGCCCGCCTCACGCAACGATGTGGGTAATGGAATCGTTAAAAGTATTGCAACTATTTTTTTTGTTTTTACCTGGTAAAGGCCCACTGAGCTATATAGGTATTTTTCAAAACTGACCTGGCCACAAATGATAGCTTATCGTTTGGAAATTTTTATCAGCCAAATACTCTAAATGCATGTTGATTTTAAATGTGGCGGGAAAAATCGGAGGGCCCCGAGAAAAATCCACGTGACCACGGGGAGAATTCACAAACTCCAAATATACAGGAGTCAGGGTAGGGATCGAACCCACGACCTCCTGTACACCAGGCGAGGTAGTTAACATCTCCTAGCCACCGTGTGGGATCTTATTTTGTACAGCATCCGACAAAGTCACGTCTCGCAGTGTACTCTTATTTCATTAACCCTGGAAGGATGCTTACTTGAGTGTGTCAGAGTAGGCCCACCAAAAAAGAATGCGACGTTCTATACCTGTCAATGTGTGGGCGTTGTTTACGTGGCTGAAATTTACATCCTTGTTGCTTTTAAGGCTTCACTATCTATCGTGTTTTTGTTCCTGTGTGGTGACAATCTATTTTTTACATTTAACGGTTGTCATAAAATGTGCTATGTTCCGTTTACAGAGGGATGTATTGTATCGTGAAATGTAAATGGCATCACATGATCCTCCTTTAGGCCCATGCTACACCAGTAGATCCCCTCTGCCGTCCACATATAAACAATCAGGTGACTGCCCGACTTGCAAATCCAGAGATCAACCAGTTCCATCCTTTCCCCCAGCCCAGCAGTTGAAACAATGCTGCAAGTTCCTTAAATTGGTACACTGCAGTTATTTGATTGGCAGGTAGCATCTTGTGGTTGGGGTAAAGTGTGGGCACTCCCACCTCTTCCAAAACATCTGGCCAATTGAGGAAGGAGTAGGCCAGAGGACACTCTTTGTAGATCTCTATAGAGGAGGACCTTCCGCAAGCAGTCGGGTGAGCAGCAAATTACAGGGCTTCACCTTTACTTATTTTGTAACGAAATCAAACCGTTGACTTAACTGGTGGCTCAACTGGTGCACGCACCGAACACTAATCTACTTAGGTACCAATAAATACATTTGAAATATTACACCTCTTAAGTTTAATCAATTTCAAGAGGATGCATTTAAAATTAGAGCATTGTTAGGTTTAGGGCTTGGAATTGAGAATTTTTATTTGGTCATTGTGTTAATCAAGGAGACAAACATCCCCCGTATGGCCTGAACAGACTTTTATGGCAGGTGCTGTTTGCGAGCACCTATGAAAGCCAGCACACGTGGGGGTGGGTGGCCAGCACCATGCCCAGCCCCCTTTGTCTCCCTTAGTGATTGTTTACACAGCGCACCAGGTACTCAATTTTGGCTGAGTCAATATACGGGAGGCCCAGAACTGGTTCAGATAACGGTCGCTGGTGTTGGACGCGAGCGAGAATCGAATTCGGATCGCCGGGTTCGTAGTGCAATGCGCAAACCACTGCACCACCGCTCCACACACACACACACATGGACGCGTGTCACACTGCCACTCTTATTAACAGCTGTGACAGATGCACTCGCGATCAATGCTTCTGTTTACCCTTAGCACACGAAGCTACAAATGCCACTGGCTCACCTCTTTGCCACCGGTGTTTTGAGCGATCCTGTCTGTGGCGCTTTTAAATTTGATTTCATCGTCATGATTTTGAGCACAACGTGAACATGGGGCGACGCAACTTGGTGGTGCCGTTTGCCACAAATTTGCATGTTCACATTTACCAAGTGTAACTTTAAAATTAAGTGTAGTGAAGTCGAAAGTCAACGAGTCTCCCTGCTCAGACATCACTCCCCAGTCATTCAATTCATTCATCATCATTCGCTGTCATTGATTTCGCGCTTTCACCGAATTCACACGGCACAGATTTACCCCCGTTGCTTCCTCTCATCAGTTTCGTTCACCTCATCTCCACCGTCACATCCATGTGTACCATTGCTTATTCTGTGTAAAGCGCCTTGGGTAAGGGGCTCTCTGAATTATTTTAAGATACGATTTAGGTGGCACCCATTCTCACATCGGTGATCCTGAGACCCGTGATGGAAATTCCACATTTCCATGGCAGGAGCAGGTTATTTTCATAGACTGCCCCACAATTAGCTATCTTTGAAAGGAGAGAAATAAATTATTGCTTTAAGCTTCAAGCTTCCTTTCCCTGATTCCGATCTGATTGAATAGGCAGTGGGCAGTATTTAATCCTTTAATGATTAATGATTAGATTTCTATTTGCATTTAGGGCTGGGGATACTAAACCTCTGATCTATTGAAAAATAACCCCTTACGTACGTGCAACGATGCGGGGAGTGGTGAAACAGTGGTGAGCATCCTGAGTTCGATTCCCAACCACCACTACGGCCACGGTGAGTGACTGTGTGTCTATGTTGGACTTCTTCCGCACCGTACGTAGCCAACCGTGCAAATCGGCGGTACCGCCCCTTCACCACCCGGCGCTGCCAACGTGGTCCAGTATAGGTCAAGCAATCCTCTTGACTGACACGGCACAGGGAGGCCTAGTTGCAGCAGTGCATGGTATGGCATTGTTACGGTCCGCTAACAATGAGTATCACCGAAAATACAGAGAAGTGCATTCTAAACGCGTGCATTCGCTTCACCCAACGTGCGCGCTCAACATCAGGCCCTGATAGGTGCTCGCGAGCGACGTTTGGCCCCCCGCAGTCGACGAGGCCAAGCTGAGGACCATCGGGCGCGCGAGCGCGCGTCGGTGCCACGTGTTTCAGCGCCCCTTACTCGGGGAGACGGCGGTGGCCAGGTGCGGTTGTTGGCTGCGCCACCCGCCCCCTTGCGCCAACGGTCTCTGGGGGCTAAAAGGGGACTCATTGTCTCTGCGAGCGAACGCGCGAGCACACACGCGGTTGTTCGATGGCACCAGCCAAAAAAACGCCCGGAGCCGAATCGAGAGCGAAGGCTCGGCACTCGCTTTGCGTCTCGTGTTGCGTACAACGTTAGGCTCCCACTCCGTCCGGGCTGCTAATGGTTGTGCAAAAAACAAATATTAATTCTGTTGCTCATCTGTGCGAAACAAGTGCAGCCCGACAGTCGATATTGGCTACGGATAATATCTCTGTGTGTGTATTTGTGTGTGTGTGTGTGTATATACGGCACACAGAAAGAATGGGTGTGAGCAAGCGACTTGGTCGTGTAACGGCCACTGGGTTTGCCACTGGGCTGGCTTGTTTGGGGTCGACGTTGTGGTTCCTGTCGCCAGCGAGTAATAATTGGCTGTGAACAAATTGCTAAAAGGCCATTTACGTGCTTAAAGTGGACTACTAAACACAAGTTCGGTCACTCACGAGTGTAAGCAAAATGTGAGCTGAGGTTATATCTTTATTCACATCCTATTGGCCGCTGACTCGGGCTATCATCACACTGGGAGGTGGGTGTGGGGGTGCAATACAATATGCAATACAACAATCAAAGTCAGCATCCGTCTTCCTATAAATAGACTGCTCTCCACCATGGCAATGTAGAGATGAGTCCCACCCACACTGCATGATTAATCAGGGAGAAGCATTTTTTTTTCAGATACACGAGCAGCTGGGATATAGCCCAAGTTGGAAGGGCATCAGGGCTTCTAATTTTGAGCCTTGAGCTTCTACCCATGCCAGGGTCGAGTCGATCCCATTGTTCCTCTGGGATCAATAAAGTGACCACCCAGCTGGTAAGGATGCTTGCGAAAAGCTTGCAGCCTCTGATTACTGATTGTGTGATTACTGACCGTTTACAGTTTTTGGCTGCTTTTATACTGGTCGCTTCTGAAAAATAGCTGTATAGCTCAGTGGGCCTTACCTGGTAAGATAGAAAAAAGTTTTAGTCTGTCGCGTCACGTATATTCCCATCTTTGATATTGTCTGAGCAACATCTCATATAAACTATGAATGGATCGAAGATAACTGACGTATATAACGTTAACTTCAGAAATAATAGCGCTACACTGTGATCTAAAGCTTTCGTGACTGCAGGGATTCATATTCTTGGTTATTTCGGTAAAGTCACGTAGAAGGGAAACAATAAAATAAAAAAAATATAAAACAATAAACTTCTCACGACGTTTCGACTGCAACACAAGCAATCATCATCATACTCTTTGTATGATCTATATGCAGCAGCAACCAATGCATATAAGATCATACACAGCTTGTAATCAGAGTAAAGAAGAGTCTCTACAGGAGGGAGCATTAGAGAAGATTATTGCTGATATCCTGTCATCAACCCACGCCGCTTACACGATCCCCTCCCCTTGTTGGTGTTTTGTGAAACACTTAAAAAAAAGTATTTGGTAAAAAAAAAATAACGCAGCCATGAAACGTCATCAACGGGCACGTGCCACCGTAGTGGTAATCTCATCGGCATACTGAAAATGAAGCGGTGCAAGATGAACGTTGGCAACCTTCGCCGGTGGTTGGAACTCGTCGAGAAACCCAAGGCCCCCCCGCTACGATGAGCGCGGACGTTTCGAGCGCGAGCGAAACGCCACAGCGGCCTCCAAACCGAATCTCGCGTCCCCCTGCCTCCCGCCGCAGTGAACAAGATCGTGTCGCACCTGATCGTGGCCGAGCCGGACAAGATCTACGCCATGCCAGACCCCACGGTGCCCGACAGCGACATCAAGGCGCTGACCACGCTGTGCGACCTGGCCGACCGCGAGCTCGTCGTCATCATCGGCTGGGCCAAGCACGTGCCAGGTCAGTCGGGCGGACGTTGGGCGGCGGAGAAAGAAGTGACGCCGGTCGCGGCTGCAGCGCCGGCGTCAGTTCAGAATCACACGCGCTCGCGGCCAGGGCCCTCGGAGAGAGCGAGAGAGAGAGACGCCTGCGGCAACTGCGAACTGGTTTCCCGTAACGGGTAATGTGTGTGTATGTGTGTGTGTACGTTGAACTTCTTTAGCACCGTGCGTAGCCGACGGTGCTAATCGGAGGTGCCGGGGGAAGGACGACAAGCTAAACATAAAAAAAAGCAGTTTGTGCAGAAGTGAGTTTTCATTGAAGATGATTTTAAAGTGCACAGCTCCAGTGGCTTCCTATAATCGGAAGGAAGAGCATTCCAGATGGCCACAGAAGCGCGCCTGAAAGCGCGCGATGCGGTGGCCGTCCTTGTTCGACGGCCAGCGAAAGAGCCGCCGCTGCGAGGCTGACCGGAGTTGGCGTAGTGAAGGTTTGTGCTCCTTGACGAGGTCAGCGAAGGTATTGCCGTTCATTTGTGGCAGGAAACTTTGCGTGCAGAGGCCACCGACGGGGTGGTCATTTCAAGCCTCAAACAGGGGACGCCCCAGCGGCAGTGGAACGGGTTAGCACACCGGCAACGATGGTGCAAGTTTCTTTCTATTTCTATTTATATTTTTTTTATCTTACCGGGTAAGGCCCACTGAGCTGCGTGGCTCTTTTTCAGAGGCGACCAGGCCATCACAAACGGATGGCTCAACGAAGCGGCCTATCGCGTGAATATTTGTAAAAACGGCCAACAACTCTGAACGCATGTTGACTCTAAGTGTGGAGGGAAATATCCACATTACCAGAGAAATATCCACATTACCACGGGGGGGGTAACATGCAAACTCAAAATATACAACAGGCCTCACCAGCGGGATGGCACCCATAACCTCTTGTATACCAGGCGGGGTAGTTAACATCTCGCCACCGTGACCTGCCTCTGTCTACCCAGCATAATAAATGGGAAATGCTGCAGCTTGTCTGCCTTGCAAGTCATGTGCGATGGGGTAAAGTGTGAGTACTCCCACCCTCTTTCAAGGCATCTGGCCAGCATGGAAGAGTAGGCCAAAATGGCCTCTAGAGGGGCCCCTCCAGGATCCACTTCAACATCTGCTGCTCAAATCGTCTGCTGAACATCACACTACCCAGCCATCTTTCCACTATCGTGAGCGAACGCGATCACGGTTGGAAAGACCCACATTGTCCGAAATGTCATCAGGCAATACAGGAAGCAAATTAATTAACATCAAATATATTATCACTCAGACTACGAATGGCTCCTAATGCCCGCGCGTCACAACGTGGCGCGTGTGATTGCTCCAGTTCATATGAAAGTGCATTGCATTTGATTAAAATATCTTCACACTTCTTGCTGATTTCTGTCGACACCTATGCTGTTATTTCTCATGGGAACTTCTAAAAATGTCAGCATTTGCCTTTGAAGAGTGAACGCTTGCAAGACAAATTTTGTTCACTACTCTTTCTCCGCACGCGACGGGCCATAGCGTGGTTTTTAAATTACGGATAGGTCAAGATAAGCGTTTGTCATAGCCAGCAGTTCTGCCACACCCTCGAAATCGCTTCCTTCCTCCTGCCAGATTCAACGGCAATTGCACTGTTGGCATCCATCTTCCAGTGTTTACCTTTGCAATGCTGTGCTTCGTTACGTGGCTTCCGGTGCCACCTTCCTTGTTGTGAATGTGTACGCAAACATTCACGAAACGTTGCTCTTTCGTCGTACAAGACACAAGAATGCACACAGTCAGCGCATCTTCACACTCTATTCCATTTCGGATTCATACGGCGCCCTTTGCAGGGCCCTTTAGAATGCGAGCCGACGGCGGTCAGTGTAGGAGGTGGCGGAACCGATGGAGGGACAGGGGCTGGGAATGGGGCTGATGTTGCTGGGGCAGGTACGGCGGAATAAGGTGGAACGCGATGGTGAGTGAGGGTGTCTGATGGGTGCAGCGTGGACGAGAGGCAGTGGGGCGTGGGGCACGTTGCGTGAAGTAGTGACACGGGCACGGATGAGGGAAGGTGAAGGGTGGTGGGGGCGGAGGTCTGGTGGCCGGATAGTTGAGCCGATGGAGGAGCGCAGCGTCGGGCTGGGGGGAGAGATGTGGTTCGGTGCACATGGAGAGGGGGACGTCGGAGCCGGGTCAGGGATTATGGTCGTAGGAGGAAGGGGACTTGGGGGAGGGGGAGAGGGCTCTGTGCACGTGCACAGACGGGTATGTACACGCACGCACATGGCAGCGAGCTCTTCGGTTACTGTTAATGCACGCACGAAGTGACACTTAACGTGAGCGAAACAGGCGTCTCACACACACACGCACGACAAACAGATGTCTCCTGTTAAGTGTTTAGAACCTAGCAGCTAAAGAACATCCAAAAGTCAACAGTGCACACGTTGGGGTGGCCGATACGACGGCCGGACCCTGTAACTGCTACACCCTGCTGCCTTCATGTTCCCAGCAATGATGCTTAAACAGTGCATTGGGGTAAGTCGAGATTGATATTTGAGTCACAATTGCCTGATGATGACGCTGGTTGTAATTATCAGCGAAACGCAATTCATAATCGTAAAATGTTGCGGATGGCCTTCCACTGCACTGGTGTGCAGTAAATATCGTCGCGTTTTCTCACGTGACATCATTTATTCAGCCGTGTCGGGTGGAGAAGGGCGTACGACACACCGTCTGCGTTGTGACTCGTGTGAACGCTGCGACGCAAAGAATCCTTTCTGAATTGTTGCATTCAGGGGCGGAGCCAGGATTTCAGGCCGGGGTGACATTCAACAAATGTTAATTTCAAGAATGATTTAGAGAGTCAGGCTGTTGAACTAGACGCCATCGGTTGGCGACACACTCTGACGATGCAGTTGCACGGAGCCCGCCAGACCGAGTGCCGTACACTTACACGCAGAATGTCACCCCCCCCTGGCTCCGCCCCTGGCTCCGCCCCTGGTTGCCTTGGTCACGGAAGCACCTCCAATGAGCACGGTTGGCTACGTGTGGTGTGAAAGAAGTTCTACATACATACAAACAGTGCACCAGGTACCCATTCAAGGAAGCACTGACTTCGAATCCCATTGGCCACCAATGAGGTGCGCTGTCAGGGAATTGAAGCGGGTAGCCGTAATCGTCATAGAGACATGTGCTCAGGCTAACATCCGGATTTCAGACCGGTATTAACCATAAAAGACTTGATGCCCTTTGGGGTGCCTTGCGCATCACACGCGCCATCATCCTGGTATTAAATGCCGCACATTCGACAAAGCACGTGGAAAATAAACTGAATTTCACAGTGTGCGATCGCCTTCATTGCCGCTGTTGGATTTTTTTTTATGGCCGCTTTTTTAGTCCCCGCTTTTTTTTTTCCGTAACCTGCCGTCATTACCGGAAGGCCAATTCTTTCCCTCGGTAGGGATTTGATAGATTTTTTTCCCCCTCTGTTTCTTTATTACGTAGCATTAGAATGTTGAAAATGTACCTAAAGCCCCCTTAAGTCCAACAAAAAAAACATAGGAGTCGGGGATTTAGTAAAGTGCTGTCAACTCTCGGCTTTTGGATGGCCGTCATCCTTTGTCTGCGTCATCGTTACCGTAATCACAATCCAGCATTCGTTTGGTGTTACGGCACCTCTCGACATTCAGGCACCTGCATCCCAAAGTTCGCTCTCGCTGCAAGCAAAGCAGTCACGTTTGTGCATTAGTTCCAAAGGTATCGGTGGGTCGCGCGCACCGTGGTGTTTTCCACTTCACTGCCGGGCTGGGCGCAACGCTTCGCTCTGTTGCGTCACTGGGGCGAATGGTGAAAATGCCGTCGCTTCATGATAACGTCGGCTCATTCCGTGGGGGTGCACAGGCGACCCGGGCAAAAAAAAAAAACACCGGTTCATATTTGTCTCAAAATACCACCCAGCTGCATGGACATTGTAGCATGCAGACTAAGGGGTCTTGTAAAAGAAACCCTTAAGGCCCTTAATCTCACATTTGAATCAATACTGGAGGAAGGTATTCTGTAAATGGAAAAATATGTATATGTTTTGACCAATTATCAGGGCTCTTTTTCAGCTGTTACTGCCTGGGCCTGAGCTCCAGAAAATATGTGATGCTGTGATCGTTTGAATGTGTTGAGGTTTTTTCACGTTATCGTGCGAGGTTTTGAATGGGCTTCAAGCGGAGGATTGTGATACCACCAGCGCTGGCTCAGTTCTGTTATTGATGTTGAGACAAAGAGTCTCTCCGCTGAGTGCGGAGAGACGTTCATGTATTGTTGCAGTCAAGAGTCCGTGGTGACAATTCTACATTCTTTTTGCTAGAATCCAAAGTAACAATTTAACATCAATGATTCCCGAATCGGCCGTGAGAACGGGCTATTATTTCCAGCTGTGTGGGACATTTGCAGTGGTATAAATTGTTGACTTACCGTATTTTCCCGCATATAGCCCGCATATGCGTATAACCCACAGATGCATATACCCCGCAAAAATAGCGTTTTGTGTAAAACAAATTTCAGATAGCCCGCACCTCCATATACCCCGCATGCATTCATATATTTAACGTCGTTACCGCAGCTTAATTCCATCATATTAATACAAAGTTTACATTTGTAATACATTCCACTATCAAGTGTTAACATTAAAATCATAACGTGCACAAAGAAAACAAACTAACCAGAAACGAGTGAACTTTAAACAGTAAATAAGTAACAAAAGTAAATATCCAATAAATAAGTAACACATAACTGGTAGATAAGTAAGTAAGCGTACTGTTAGTCTTTCCAGCATTCGACCTCATCATTTTACAGCTACTGGACCGGTAGTTACCCCTGTACAGTTTTAGCACTGATAGATTGTTCACTGCGCAGACAATAGCGGCACTACGGTAATGCCATTGCCTCCTGGCAACAAAGCTATTTGAAGTTTGAAACAAAGCTCATGGTCGCGATTGTATAGTGCTCAGCGAATAGCAG